GGGAGGGGAATTGGATTAACAGTAGCAAATATCTGTCTGGGAACGGGGAAACACCCCATATCAACAGGGTGCCTGAATGAAACGCAATTGTATACCTAACCCTTAACTGTACCCCACAACTTCACAATAAAAAATAAAAATTAAAAAAAATAAAATAAAAACCAGTTGCCATGTGAGAGAGAATCTTCTAATGACATTGAGGGGATCCTTCTTTAACTCTCACTATTCAGCTTCCTCTAGGGAATAGCAGCAAGCCCCAGCATTATATGCAGCATACCCCAGCATTTCTAATAGGTAAATATGCATGTAATTGTGACAGAGAGAAGAGAAAGCATTTCATTACAATGAGTCTGTAGGTTTCTTCTAGCATGGATGAATGTTATTATATGTTCCTATTGCTTTCTTTTTGGTTCTTGGATACATTTTGGGTAACCGAGGCTGCCAAGTGTCATCCAGATAGGTGGAGGATTATTGTATACCAGGATTTCTCATGCATGTCTAATTCTTGTTGAACCTGGATGTGATGTCAGAATCCTTTTCAACTCAGTTCTCCAAACAGTCAATGCAGTTGCTCAGCGCTGGCCAGGGGAATGAAACTTTTTGCTAATCCCATCATTTGCCCATGGTGTGTGATTTCTGAGATCCATTGGAAACCTATAGAAGTGATCTTTAGGGTCACTTCTGTCCCTGCAACCCATGCCAGTCCCTTGAGCACTTAGTGATAGACAGCTGGATCATAAGTTATTAGAGCTGGATGGGACTTCACATTAAGAGATAAAAAAGATGAAACTTGGAGGACTTCAACCTTTAAACTACGTTATTTAAGCTGACACCATGTGCCGCCTAGTTAAGTGTGTTGCTGTGTTTTCCTTTATAGGTGAGAAGATACTCCTGTGCAGTTTGGGCTCAGGTAAAAGGTAAAATCATTTTCTGCTTATGAATGATGTTCTTATTTCTCTTCTGTTCAATCTGCAGCATCAAATTTATGTTAATGAGATGATCTCTTTTTTAAATGGTCATAGGTGTCAGAAACCCAATTCATAGCAGCTTAAGCAAAAACCACAACTGAAAAACATAGAGGGAGAGTAGGTAGGCAGGAACTTACAGATTTAGGCAAAGAGCTCCAGGAACTAGAACTTGGGACTCAACACCATGAGTGGGACTCCCCTTTCTATCTGTCTCCTGTTTCTGCTCTGTCTTTAAGCATTACTTGGCCTTATTTTCTTTTCCTATAAATATGTGATGGGTGGGGATAGCAAGCTGCCCCAGCTTAGCAATTTCAATGGGAACAGAAAGTTTTTTGATTCAGAAAAAGACTCTTCCTAGGTTAAGTGACTATCAGTTGGATGAATCCCAGTAAATAGGAGATAGGCTAGGGTGGTTGACCTACCTTGATTTTATGCTTACTCATGCCTAGTTGTGGGTAGAGAGAGCAGTGTGATCAGTATCTCCACTAAGATTGCACTGCAAGGGAGACAAGATCCACACCAAGAAATGGGGCACAAGAAAACATGTTGACAGACCAAAACAAGAGCTACAGCAGTCTACTTCCTCTTACCCTTTGGGTGTGTAGCATATGCACACACACATGTAATATTAAGGAAATCTCCTCCATTAACAAAATGGGGCTATCCTACATACAATAAAAAATGGAACCCTAGTAGAAGAAAACTCAAAGATGGGAATGCTACTGCATCCAATTCCAAGACCAGGAATCCTGGGGATGGTACTTTCCTCTTGATCAAGTTCAGATGTGCTTCTCATGCAAGCAATCTATGACTGAATGGCAAATTTAACCATTCTCAAACCACAGTATATGATGTGAAAGGGGAATCTGGATAACCATAATAAATACTCTCATTTAGAAAGGAGGAAAAGATAATATAGTGGCCAGGGGACCCATAGCAGTCATCACCTCCTGTTGGAGAGAAAAAGCAAGCATCCTCTCCCCTCATAGCAGAATGGGTCACTTGGTTTGGGTCTGCCTGTTGGGAGAGCATCCGTTGTCCATTTCCTTCAGTGCTTTCCTAAGAGATGCAGTGAGAGGGATCTTTGCTGAGTGTTGTACAGCTTAAACCTTCTTCACATTGGCAGTTATCCAGGCAAGGGAATTGCCTTAGGGTTTAAGCAATCACTGGTCTTTGCCAGGCTTGGGATTTCCCTGGCAGTACAGTACATTTCTTTAAAACCAACAGGCAGCCAGCCAGTGGATTTGATTCCCAGAAATTCCATTAGTTTGTAGCTAGTGCCAGAAACCTTGTCAAGTTTATGACCTTGGACTCTGGACCCTTTCCTGTGGTTTATGAGTCCTAGTATCAGGCTGAGAAATTTTGCCCTGAGGCCACAGTATCAGTTTAACCCCTTATATTCTGTTCTATACCTCAGTGTGGCATAGAACAATAGGCTGGCATGGTGAGGAAGCACTGGTATAACCTTGCTTTCAGGAGGATTCCAGTGGATAACACTTTACAATGAGGAAATTGTTATCCTGTCAATAGAGAGTACTGTACAGAAAATGTTTGGGGGTGGGAGAGGGGTATTGTGGGGAATTAGGCTTCTTCCATTTGTCTGCTTCTCTCCCTGTCTTATTTCCCATATTTTTATTTCTACTCAAACCAACTTCAACAAGGGTAGAGGGCTTGGCTTTTTAACTGGGAAAGGTCAATTACCTTGACTGTCAGCCCTCTTGGACTGATGATTGCCAGACAGCAAGGGCCTCTCTTTTAACAAACATGTGTGCTGTTCCATTTCTGTGTGTAAATGGGCCAAGTTCCCTTTCTTGTAGTTTAGTGAAGGCCACGAGAAACAACCACACATTTCAACATTCAGAAACTTTTTTGCCATTTCATTCCCTAAGGATCTAGGAGTGGGAATGGTGTTTTCATAAGGAAACGAGGTGCTTTTATCAGAAGAATTAAGATGTGCAAGCTTCCAGACACAGAAACAATAGCTTCCTGAATCCACTCCATTCAACAACAGTGTGATATGGTTGGAAAACATTCAAACTGAGTAGAAGAAATTGCCAAAGAACTGGTTGCAGTCATTCTGCCATGATTAAGTTAGCAGGAAGGATTTTGCTTTGAAAATATCTAAGTGGCTTTTGGCATTGCTCTTGTCTCCCCGCAGCTTAATAGTCAATATTCAAAGAGAGTTTGAACCTTTATTTTATTTTATTTTATTTTATTTTATTTTAAGTGAGAAAGCAGGATTTATTAAGAGGGCAGAAAAACTCCCACAGTGGGAGGGGACCCGAAGGGGTTGCCCAAGAGTTTGAACCTTTAAATTTAAACCACTGGAAAGCTCTGGAAGATAATAGAAAACACACTGTTAGTTTGAAATTCTGAAGGCAATTCTAGCATATATTTATCTACATATAAAATTTACCTGTGTTGAGTATTCAAGTAGTTTAATTTTTCAAAAAATTCTCGAGACTGCCATTTCAGAAAGTGAGTTGGAGAGAACTGGGACTCTAATTAGTTCTGAAATTATTCCAGTTCACTAGTGCAAAGCCTAAGCCCCATTCTGGCCCTTGCCCAGTGACAAATGCTATTTACCCTTTGCGCATTGCTCCTAGAAGAGCTTTGTGATGATTACCAGGAAGCCAGCAGTCGAGGTTTGAGGGAAGATGCAGAGACTTGGACTTACTTGCCTGAGTCCTGCTACTAATCAGCTCAGTGTCTTTGAAATGATATTTAACTTGGCCAGTTCTCAATGCCTCTTTCCGGGATCTCTGAGATCCCTTCCAGCCACAAAGTAGTATGCGTCTATGATTTCTTGAGTCACAAAGCAAGGTTATTTGATATATGTGAGGTGACTATAAGCTGTAATCAGGGATCATTCTCCAGTCCTAAGCATGAGTCTGAGTCATTAGTGACTATTCCTCTTTCTCTTTTAGCCCACATTTTGCACTTTGGGCATGCATCCCTGATTTTTATTTCTGTGTTCACTTCCTGAGCATAGGCCTTCATATCTGTAGCAAGGACAACTGTCAAATCTTCCTTTCTCATCTCCCACCCAACAAATTCAGGATTTTTTTCTTCACTCCAGCCTACACACTACCACCTGACTGATTTCTAAAATGCAGTGCTGATTTTATTATTTCCTTTTATTTTTCCATGGTCCTCCATTATTTTTTAGTCTGGCTTCCAAGGTCTTTGTCACCAACATACCCTTATAATTGCATCTCTTTTTCTTCTCCAAACTGATGTGCCAGCTGTTCTCTGGATATGGCTCATACTTTCTCCTCTTAATGTCTTTGCTTATGTGATTGCTTGATTACATTCACCTGGATTGCCCTATCACCTGCCTGTGAATTTCTGCTTATTACAATCTCACCTGTTCTTCAAGATTATAACCAAATACCCTCTCTTTCCTGAATCTTTTAAAATTTCCTAAGTAGGATAGAGTCTCCCCATCTTCAGCCATTCTGCCTTACTTTAGAGCAATAGGTATGCATTTGTTTTGTCTTTTCCTACTAGATTTCAGAGTCTTTAGGGAGAACATTTGAAGAGCAAGAACCAGCAGTCAGTTTTTTGGGAATTGAAGCATAGTGGGTTAATACTTAGGATTTAAATAAACCAGAGAAGTTTTACATCAAGAAATGAACCTTGCATGTATACATATGTACATATTATACACACATGTGCATGTGCACAATCATTTTAAATCTTTACAGTTATGGTGGGCAGAATTCTAAGATGGCTCCCCACATTTTTGTTCTTTGGTCTATACCTACCTTCTCTCAGTTAATCATTCAAAGACCCTCTAGGTGTCTCTGTGAAGGAATTTTGAAGGATTAATTAAGGTCCCAAATAGGAAGAGCATCCAGCTGGGCCTGACCTAATCACAGGAGCTCTTTAAATCTGGGTCTAGAGGTCAGAGACAGGGGAAGTTGGAGATTCAAAGGGTGAGATAGATTTGACTCAGAAAAGGGAGTCTGCTAGTTTGAAGATGAAGGGGCCATGTGGCAAGGAATACAGGTGGACTGTAGGATCTGAGAGTGGCCTCAGCTGACAGCCAGTAAGAAAATGACTATTTTAGTCCTACAACTTTGAGTGTCTTAGTTTGTTTTGTGTTGCTATAACAGAAAAACAGAGGCTGGATAATTTATAAAGAAATGAGGTTTATTTAGCTTATGATTCTGTAGTCTGGGAAGTTCAAGAGCATAGCACTGCATCTGGCATGCTTTTGGTGGGGCTACATGCTGGGTCAAAACAATGACAAAGAAATGGAAAAGTCAGTGGGTGTGTGCAAAAAGGATCATATGGTGAGAGGAAGCAAGAGGGAGTTTAGGAAGTTGGCTTGATTTTATAACAAGCTACCCCCTGGTAATACAGTCCTCTAGAGCAAGAACTCACCCTCAAGGGAGAGTATTAATCTATTTTTGAGGAGTCCACTCGCATAATTCAAACACCCATACTAGGTCCCACCTCTCAGCTCCACCACATTGGAGATAACATTTCAAATGAATTTCAGAGGGGACAAACTCAAATCATTACAGCAAGGAAATGAATTTAGTCTACAACCTGAAAGAGCATAGAAGCAGATTCTTCTCTAGACCTTTCAGATGGAAATTCAGTTCTCCTGATTTATTTCAACATTGTAACACCCTGAGCAGAAAACCAGTCTCAGTATGTCTGAACTTCCCACCCACAGAATTGTGAGCTAATAAAATGGGTTATAGCTACCTAAGTTTATGGTAATTTGTTAAACTGCAATAAAAGTTGAATACAACAGTGTTGTTTATTTACTAAACATTACTTATCTCTAAATTAGTTTTCTACTTTTATCTCCCTTGCCATATTTTGCTTTGAAGGGAATTTGGATAAGAATAAGAAGACCCTAGATTAGCAAAGAGAAATTTGGCATATTAAATAGAAGCCACAGTGCTAATCATTTTTACCATTTGGGGAACAGAATTGCTACTTTCAGGAAATGACCAGGCCTGTGTAAATTCATGAAAAAAAAAATCCACACCCATAGGAAGTCCTCAAGCTGTCAAGTCTGAGAATAGGCATAGGACCATTCTAACTTCCTGGTGATATTTCCATCAATGAAATGGTTGAGGATAAGCCCAGAGAGGTCCCATCACTCCTGAGCATTAGCTCTCTTGAGAGAGCCACCATAAAGAGGATGGTAGTCCTAGTGGATTTACTTTCTCCAAGAATAAGTAACTGATCTGGGATATAAAACAGGAACCATTCACTTTCATTTCTAAAAGAATATTTTACAAGTGATTCAGAAGAAAAATAAGCATGGTTCGGTGGCATGAGACCATGAAAGGGAGGATAACCAGAGGATGGCAAGGCTATAAAAAATACAATTCAAGTTGGCCAGTTGCAAATTTCCTTAGTAAGGAATTAATGAGGAAAGTCCCTAAAGAAGACTGTGTGGCTACACCCGTGAGTGTACTTGACTTTCAGAGTACATGTGCAGAGTGACAAAAAGACAAATAACCAAGAACTGTTTACCAGCAAGAATCATGCCTGGAGCCAAACCCCACATGGTGCTTTGCAGAATGAATAAATATTATTTTCCAATACTATGTCTACAGGGAGGAATAGTTGCTCCCACGGCTTAGGGTGGATCCTGCTCGTAAATGGTTAAGAGCAAATCAGGTTCCTCAATTCCTACTTAGCTTCTATCCTGGTTTGTGAGGGGATATTTAAAAGCAAGGGAAGAGCTAATTACCTACTTTGGTTCAAGTCTTCCAAATTGGATGAAGCACATTCAAGCAGGTTTATACAATTTTCAAATGAGATGGATAAACTGTTGCAGGTGATCTTTGAGAAATCATGAAGAGCTGTAAGAACACTAGAGATGAGCAAAGAATAAGAGACTTTGTACAGAGGAAGAGTCACCAAAATTGTAGATGATGACACCTTGGAAGTCAAGACCAGGCAGAGTGTTCGGTGATGGCTTGTCTCTCCTTGGTAGAAGCAGCAGCAATTCCTAGGAGTCAGCATGAGAGTCCCAAGAGTTGATTAGGTCAAATTGCTTTCCTTTTCTTCTTGCATGGAGTCACGAATTGGTTAGGAAAATATGGCAGGCATAAAGTAATTTTGACTGCAGCAAACACTTAATAATGTCCTTGTATACAGTGTGAGGGCATGAGAGCTGCATGTAGGCTTAAAAACAAGTAACTATGCACTGTTGGTATCAACTCATTAGCAACTACTAATGAGTTGATATCAAATTCAGAAATATGTGCAATGTGGATCTCTATTCACAGTCATCTTCAACATATTCATCATCAGTGATTAAAATATATAGAGGGTAATAGCATAAAGGAAAAATGTAGAGAAAAAATTGTGATGAAAGTTGGGAGGATTACTGAGTAGACTGGATGAAATAGCAGTGCAGGAAAGTACCAGCTCCCCCCACTATCTTCAGTGCTGTAGTTTCTCTTACAAACACACCTAGCTAATTTAGTACACAAAAATGGCATCTCAGTATTTTAATTTATATTTTCATTACTTATAAGAGCATTTGATCCAAGGCTTATCAATCATCTGCAATCATATTTTTATTTTAATTTTTTAAATTTATTTGTTTTTGAGTCAGAGTCTCACTCTGTTGCCCAGGCTGGAGTGCAGTCAACCTGCTGGGCTCAGGTGAGCCTTCTGCCTCAGCCTTCCAAGTAACTGGGCCGCAGGCTGGTGCCATCATGACAGGCTAATTTTTTTTACTTATTGTAGAGATAAGGTCTCACCAAGTTGTCCAAGCTGTTCTCGAACCCCTGGGCTCAGGCAATCCTCTCAACTCCATCTCTCAAAGTACTGGAATTACAGGCTTGAGCCACTGCATCCGGCTTGCAATTATATTTTATATGTGATTACCTTTTCATAGAATTTTGTCATTTTGCTGTTATCATTTTGACTTTTTAAAATTAATTTGTAACACTTCTGTCAGTGGTCCTCAACCTTATTAACATCAGGGACCGATTTCATGGAAGACAATTTGTTCATGGAAGACAATTTGTCCATGGAAGTGAGGGGGGGCAGGGAGAGATGGTTTTAGAATGATTCAAGTGCATTACATTTATTGTGCTGATCAGCAGCGACATTAGATTCTCATAAGGAGCATGCAACCTAGATCCTTCATATGTGCAGTTCACAATAGGGTTCGTTCTCCCATGAGTATCTGAAGTCACAGCTGAACTAACAGAAGGCGGAGCTGGCTTCTCTCACTCACCCACTGCTCACCTCCTGCTGTATGGTCTAGCTCCTAATACTGGTCGGCAGCCCTGGGGTTGGGAACCCTTGCTCTATATGATAGCCTCTTGTTTGTTATTCCAAATAGTTTATCCAGTTTGCCTTTTAATCTTGCTTATGGTAGTTTTTTGTATGCTTTTTAATGTAGTTAAATGTCTCATTCTTTTACTTTTAGATTTTTATGTTAATAAAATGCTTACCTGGATGGACTTAGAGTGATTTATCACAGAAACAAAGAACTGAGTATTGCATGTTCTCACTCATAAGTGGACCTTGAGCAATTATCATAATACTATAAATAAGGATTGTCAGTAGTGGGAAATTGCCAGTGGAGGGGTGGGGGTGGGATTGGCAGTAGTGGGATTCTGCCAGAGGATGGGAGGGTACACCTTGTCAACAAGGGTATCTGTATAATGAACATTTATATACTTAACCCTGAATTGTACCCCACATCTTTGAAATTAAAAATTAAAAAATGCTTAGAAAATCCTGACTCATCTTAAAGTTAGGTAAATATTCACTAACATTTTCTAATTCTTTAAGTTTTTAATTTCAGTCTTTAATCCATGTGGATTTTATTTTGGTGTATGATATAAACTCTAGTGATCAAAATTACTTTATTCTAAATGGTTAGCCGATTTTGTCAGCACCAGTTATGAATAATTTATCATTTCCCCTATGATTTGAAGCAGTATCAAAACAACAATGATTAACAATAGCTGACATTTACTTACTGCTTACTCAGTGCCTGAAATTATTCTAGCATGTACTAACTCATTTATTTTCACAATAACCCTATAAGGTGAGTGGGATTGTCAACATTCTCATGTTGTTATAGCATTCCTCAGTGAGGAAACTAAGACACAAAATGGCTGAATAACTTGCTCAGAGTCACATAGTTAGGGAGTGGCGGTGTTCAGATAAAGACTTGACATCTGACTCCAGTATTTAAGCTTTGAAATTATATAATATACTTGGCTTTGTTTCTAGGCTTTCTATTTTATTCCAATGTATTTATTCCTATACTGATGCTGCCCTGTTTTAATATCTAGTCATTCAAATTACTCCCTTATCTATTTGATTTACGAATCCCTCACTGCTGCTCCTTCCATTTTATAATCTCTTAAGTATCAAAGCCATTTTCTTCTGAATACTACAAGCATCCAAACATATCAGCCATGTTTTCTAGAAAGTCTCCTGGCAGCACTTTTTGCAGGACTTTTTAGCATGAGATGTATTTCATGGCTGCTCCTGCTGGTGCTGAGTACCCTAAAGAGTTTCCAGTAGAACCACCCTGCTCTTAACCTAGCTATGGAAAATGACTCTGTGTTTAACCACCTCATGCATTGGCTCCTCACCTGTAAAAAGAGAATAATAATAGTACTCAGTGTGAAGGCTGGTTAGGATGCTAAATGAATTAATATTTTTGTGGTGCTTAGAACAGTGTTTGACACATAGTCAGTGCTAAATAAGTGTTTGCAAATTAAAAGGAAACCTTTGCTCGAATCTAGAATATGATGCTCTGTCACTTGGCCCAAATGTGCAAATCAAATATCGATGTTTTTCAGTTTATAACTGGGGATCTCCCTGGAGTTGTCCTGTAATGATCCCCAAATAGAAAATATGTCTATCAAAGTGCTTTCACTTTGATTTTCTTATTTTGTCTTCACAGCAGCCTCCTGAGCAGAGTAGGGTGGTGGGACTTGTATTGAGGTATAGGGGAAATGACAGGTGATGCTATTCAACAGAGGATATTTGTTTGTTATATTTTGACCACCAGAGCTAACTATCATTTTTCAGAACCAAAATTCAAATGATGTCAGAATGACTTTCCTCTGTGCAAAGGAAAATTGCCCCTAAAAATCTACCAAGTGTGGGGCCATTGCATTGCTAGATTCTGGTGTGGCCATGTGCTCTTTGAGCTATGGCTGTGGCCATGCTTCCTAGCTTTGGCCCCCTCCCCCACCTTGAGGAGGTGAATATTCTCTCCCTTCTCTTTCTTTCTTTAATTTACTCTTAAGTAAACTATATTTTTAAATCTAAAACAAAACCAAACAAATTCTACCAAGGGTAATTGACTTGAGAGAAGACCAACAAAAAGCAACACATTTTGTAGTATTTGTACGCTCATTAAAATGAGCTTTTTTCCCCCTTATAAATTTACTCTGGTCTGGTTTTACACTTCCTTTTCAGAAATACCCTAAAACTGTGGTTTCCTGAGGCCCCACATTTGGAGGGCCAGCTCAGGGGGCATGAAGGCATTGTGGGCATTCTTGGGATTCTTTGTTAAATGAGGCCAAGCTTTGGGTTAGAGTGGAATGAGCACAGTTGGGTATGTGCCTCCTGGGAAGGCCATGGCCTGGTGTGCTCGGAGCTCAGTGTGTGGTTTTGTCTCACAGATTCGTCGCTCACGCTGCAACAGATGGTGGGTGTTGGACTGGGCTCCGTGGCTGCTGTGGTCATTCTCACATTCCTCTCCTTCTCAGCCGTGTGGTATGTGAGCACTGTCATTTTTGAGAAATGAGCAGAATACAGGGGAGGATGAGTCGGAGTCATGAAGAACAGCTGGGGATGAGGAGAGTAAAAGGCATGGGGGGAGGTTGTTCTGGGCTCAGCAGACACACTCCATGGTGAAAGGCATGACTTACCCTGTACCTTCAGATTGGAAGGGGGATGCCATCCTAGCCCAGGAAGAGAGTGGAGACAGTGATGACCACACACAGAGGGTTGGCTGATCCTCTGTGTTGCCTTTCCTCCCACGAGGGTGTGGTAAGCTGCACATAGGGAGGCACAGTAGGAAAACCAAAGTGTGTTCATGATTTTGTCTTTCTCTTTTCCTCCTCTATGACTAGATTGCAGATGGGTGCTGCGTGGGAAGGATGCACCACTGCTGGGGCAGATATTCTGTCAGCTTCTAAGGTGCCTGCACGGTAACCCCATTTGACTTCCACCCAGGGTGCATGTAGGCCTACAACTTTCTCCATCTCCAGTTTGGCCCCATATCTGGATTCAAGATGGTGGCGATTTCTGTGGAGTCCCCCAGAAGGAGAAAACTCAGGAATTGCTGACGTTTTCCCTGCTACAGGACCATGAACTTGAGACGCTTGGTGTACAATGTGATATTGACCACAGGCTATGAATTTTGTGCGTCTGGACTGGGACTTTCTGTTTCTCTGATGCCTGAGTCAACTCCTCTAGACATTGAATACAGGAGAGCTTCTGCATCCTCGCTTATAGCATCTCTGTTAATTAATTCAGAATCCATTCTTGGACAATATGCAGTGAAATGGTTTTAAGTTTTGGGCTAGAGTTTGACTTTATGAAGGAAGTCATTAAAAAGGATAGAGAACAGTGACATGGGCAAACATTTCAAGTACTTTAGAAATAACACTTTTCCTTTAATAAGTTGGTATACTAATTAGAAAATATATTAGCTTGGCCATGCCAGTAAGCTCCCTGCCAAGTCTCTTAGGCAGCATTGCTTTGATGCAATTCCAGTTGTCCTATACATTCAAAAGTAATGTCTGCATTCCAGTAGAAATATCCTATAATTAAGATTGTTCTTCCCTTGGTTAATTTTGGACTACTGAGCATCTCCTAAAAAACGTTCTGTGCCTCCTTTTAGAAATTGGGATTCAGTGGCAGCACAGTAACAGTGTGTTAAAACTATATTAAGGCCATGACCAGACCAGAGTCCATGTTTGTTTCAGGGAATGGGGAAGAGAAAGGGGGGAACGATACTTGTTTTAATCTACAACCTCAGTAACCATGAGTGTTACAACATCATAGACCATGATCCATTAGATAAGAGCAGGACTGGGCCAACATACTGAGTCTACAGATGAAGTATATTAGATTTGACATTTCAAGCTTGAATCAGTATTCTTTCACTTTCCTCCCTGACAGTTTAATTCAGTAAGACCTGAACAGAGATGAAAGAGGCTTGTGGCATCTCTTCTTCTTCTACATCCCTTGCTAGGCCTAGAGGAGAAAAACCACAGGAGAGGGGAAAGAGGGATGGTTACGTTAGACAACCTCAGGATGTAGCATATATAATACAAATGCAGTCCTGAAGAAAAGGGACAGCCTTCTCAATGCGGAGGGCTGGTGTGTTCTCCTCTACCTTGCTGTGTGTCCATGAGGGACGTGTCTGAGTAGCCTGGGCTTGTGGGCCAGTGATACAATAGGAACAGGTGGAAATTGCCCATGAAATTTATCCACCTTAGGGTAGGGGGTAACCCCAAGTGTATCCATTCAACTGGGAAGAGTCAGAGAGAGGGAGGTAACATCCTGACACTTGGGTGTTCAATGTCAGCATCTGCCCCTGGTCCCGTCAGTGTTAGAAATGATTGTCCTCTGTCCTCTGATGTACTACCTTCAGCCTACAACCCAAGCTCAGCATTTAAACCCTTCCTTCTCTCGTCTTAAGTCAATTATAGAGCAGAGCTTTTAATAGACTAATACAAATAGCTTTCAGGTTTTAATTTTTGTGTGTAACAATTCAAACTCTTACTATTTTCACAGCTCCTGAACTAAATTCGGAATCATTGCAAATTACTGTGGTTAGTATAGGGCAGGGCCTCTGATGAGTAAGGATTTTTCCTCCAAGTCCATCTCCATCACAAGAGAGAATATGAGCCTTCCCTTTTGACCAGTTCTGTAAATGCCATGTGTTTCTATACCCCACCCCCAATTTCCAGCTCTAGAATTAACTGTCAGAGGTACAGTTGTCTATGTGGAATGTAGCATAATTGTCACAGAATGTAGCATAATCCCACCAAACAATAATTGTCACAGAAGGGAAGAAATCCTACTTGCTTAGTGTAAAGGTTCTGGTTTAAATAACTGACTAAATATTAAGTAGAATAGCAACTTCTGGGTACAGTGCAGAAAAGTAAAAGCAGTTCATGCAAGATTACTAAAACAGTAAAAACATGGACTTTGTCATTTCCTCTAACTGCTCCAATTTATAACACAGAATTGCCTAGTGTTCATACTTGAATTGTGGGTCTGAGTCTTCTGACTGCTAGTCTAGTTTTCTTTCCTGGCATTTGATAGTTCTTGAGCTAGCTACTGAGCTAATGTTTGGACAGCCTTTTTGGTTCATGGGAAAGTCAGGCCTTTAAATTTCCTAACTCCTCCCCACCACTGTGTATATACATGCATAAATACATATGCATACATATATTTGCATATATCTCTTCATATATATACATACATACCTACATACACATACACATATATATTTTAAGCTGGTGCCTTTATTATAGCACACCTATTTTTATACCTGCCTTTTTACTGTAAGGTACTTCCCTCATCCCTTCTAGAAGGAGTCACAACCAACCAAGTGAGTGGATAGATTAATTAGGGGGAATAGGTAAAAGTCTGTTCTTTGACTCAACACCTGCAGTTGCAGTGGGGCACTTGAGAAAAGACCAGAACAGAACTGATTATCTTGAAATTCCATGTTAGCTTGGAATAAAGTTAATATTTACATTGATTTCAAAGGAAGCAAAAAAGAATTTTCAGCACTCTCTCTATGGCTAATCTCACATTCTGTTTTTCTAGACTTCCTGTTGTTGCATTCTCTTCTTCTAAGAGAAAACCAGTGGTCATAGCGGTCAAATAGTGCTGAAAGGACCTTTTGCCTGCCACATCCGTTGTTGGTTAGCTTGAAGCGCCTGCTTCTGGGGAGGAGAGCGGGGCCTTTTCTGTGCCCCAGTTTATGGGAGGGTGATTCAGTGCAGCAAGTCATTGATTAAAAGAGCAGTGTGTGTTCTTGTTGTAAAGAGAGCAAAACATTTTGGTGGGGGTGGGGTGCATGTATGTGTATGTCCACAACCATACTTTTTGGGCACAACTCAGGGTTACCGAAATAGAGTAAAACTATGCATGTGGTTTTGTAACACAATTCTTTCACTCATCAGCATTCCCTAGATACATTTTCGTGTCAATAATGACTGCATCAAAGTTTGTACCATAATTTATTTAGCCAATTTTCTATTGTGCATTGTTAATTTAGCATGTTTCCTGATACTTACTATCCATACGAGTCTGAATAAATGTATGAAATGATTACTTAAGGGAAATTCCTAGAAGTGAAATTGTTGGAACAAAAATGATATACAGTTTGCATTGTACTGCATTGCTAGAGAAGTTTTTCACGGAAAAGCTTATACCAATTTACGCACTTACCAGCAGAAAACCTCAACACTACTAGGCATTGCTGATATTGTTAATCTGGTAGGTAAAAAATGATGTTTCCATGTTTTGTTTGCATCTCTCTCATAATTTTGCATGTTGATTGCCCATTCTATCTACGTGAATTTTTTTCCTCAGTGCTTGGCCTGATTGTATTTTACTGATTCAAAATCAGCTCCTAATATTGTAATAATTCTAATTCTTAGCAGTTATATATTTAGTGAACAATTTTTCTAGTTTTTCATTTCTAGAAATGATAACGTTGTTTGTATTATATTTTGCCACACAAAATTTTTTTTTAACTTTTTTAAGATTCAAGGGATACATGTGCAGGTTTGTTACATAGGTATATTGCTTCATGGTGGGCCTCGGACTTCTATTGAGCCCATCACTCAGGTAGTAGACATGATACCCAGTGGGTAGTTTTTCAACACTTATGCCCCTCTTTCCCTCCCCTCTTTAGGAGTACTTCAGTGTCTCTTCACATCCTTGTGCCTGGTCACACAAGAATTAGTAGAGTCAAATTTTGTAGTCTTTTTTCTTATGTTGGGCCTCCCAATCTCATTACTAAATATAAGCTAGCATTTTTAAAAACATTTGATAATACTGAGTGATCTCTCACTGAAACAAAGATCTGAGTATCACATGTTCTCACTCATATAGTGGACCTCGAACATCTATCATAATACTATAAGAAAAGGACTGCCGAGCTCAGTGGCTCAGCCTGTAATCCCGCACTTTGGGAGGCTGAGGTGAGTGGATTGTCTGAGCCCGCGGGTTCGAGGCCCACCTGGGCAACTTGGAGAGACCTCATCTCCACAATAAATCAAAAATTAGCCGGGTGTGGTAGCACGCGCCTGTAGT